ACACACAGGCAGTACTTATAATGTACTATCTACTGGCCTTAGCAAGCATAAGTAATAGAAATTGGCAGTTTTAGTATAGGCACGTAGCTATAGCAGCATTATCTTAGTACATATAGCTCGATGGATAGAGTTGAGAGTGCGGAACCTAAGGCAAACGCTCTTGTGCTCAGGGCCCCAAGCATGCATTTACCCATAATAGTTTAAATCCACATTCACACTACTTTTTGAGACCAAGGGGTATATGCTCCAGCGTTAACTTCAAACCAGCGTCACTTTCGACAAATTTTAGCGTCAAAGATAGTACTGATACGTCGAAGACTCAACTACATCGATAGTCAGTAGTAGTAGAAACAGTTGTAGCCGTATCATTCTCGGCCTCCTTGAACCTGTCTTCACACGTACTAAGGGTAAGTGAGGGGAGGTAGTACAGTAGTACTGGCGCAAAGTCTCCTGTCAAGTACGACTAAGTTAGGCGGTGTTTCGGCTTGCATTGGAGAAAGAAGCCTACGCCCTACCCCGTTTAGTCTTCGAGACTCCGGGAGAAGGTGAACGGTGCGGAGCCGCTAACTACGTCCTACTATCACTTTAAAGCTATCCCCTGAGGCTGTCACCTTTTGTACTAACCTGTTGATGCACTTGGTGGACTTCATAGAAATCGATGGTCGAACACATACAGGTCTAACATAAAGTTTGACCGCAACCCTACACTTACCTTAACTCTTACCCTACACCTAACACTTAACCTAACCGTTAACGGAATTTGATGGTTTCGGTTCTCCTGTCCCATTTAGTGAGTCGCCCACCTGAAATCAGGAAGCATTCGAGGTTATTCCTTTGCAAACGAATTCGATGGAAGAGACAATGCGAACTTTTTAATTATAGCCCACAACCTTGCAGCCGTCCAATGACGACCTGGCAATGCCGTGGGCTATAACAATGAACAACAGCTTCACGACGTCAATCATCCTCTTCCCCTTCCCTCAGGGTGACAAGTGGACAATCAGGACATTAGGTATTCGAACAAGGCAAACACCAAGAGATTAGCAGGATTTATTTACACGTTAACTGTCCTCGACCACTCCCATCCTATACGGAAAGATCAAAGACAAACTGCCAGCTCAGACCACCTCTATGTGCATATATTCGTTTAACTGCTCCTGTGGGCAGGATATATAGATCGCAGGAACCGTTGTTTGTCCAAAAGACTCCAAGAACACATTCCAGGTTTTTAGGGAAGGGCCAGCTAAAGGGTATAAACAGTTCAATTCTGGCGCATCTGGTAGACTCATACCATCACCTGGATACCAAAGAGGCCTTCCGAGTGATCTACTTGGTGCCCTCAAGCTATTCAAAATTTCTTTGACAACATCTGTTGGCTACGGTAGAAGTGCCGCCATCAGGCTACGCCGACCGGTGCCACAGTTACCATGGCCAACAGCCCGCCGCTTATCACTTCACTCGGCTGCCAGACCCCCTAAACTGATAAGATTTTAGCCCCGATTCTCCCCCCCACCTACACTGACAACCACACTATTCTTCTACCAACATGCATGCTATATTTAGTTGAGTGCCATATAAATGTAAAGGCCTGACGAGAATTTATCGAAAACAAACGTATGTTCGCTAATTTATCTTCTAAAATTTATTGACGTCATTTAATTTCGCAACCTTTTATTCAGCTAGAAACGGTCGTTACCTATTAATAAGATAAGTAACTGTCCAATTAAGTGTCGGCCTAGAAGGTTGGAAATTCTTAGGTAAAGAAAGTAGAGGCTATTAGTCTTCGGTGTGGACGCATGGTGGGGGGCTAGAAGAGGGGGGGAGGTAGCTGTCATAGCATGGCAGTTCATGCTCGTGAAAGCCTGTGGGACGTGGTTAAAGGGGGAGGGGGATGGGAGTGCGAGCAGATGACAGGGTAGCAGTCAGTCCTAAAGGGGACGAGGAGGCGCGAGCGGGCCAGAGGTTATCGATCATTACCAAGGCAATGCGAGATTGATCACATGATCCAGCTGCTTACAGAATTCTGATTTTCTTCTCCATATTGCAGCGGCCTCCGCAAAAGGTATGAAACGCCCGGTCGTCGCCCGAAGTACGACCCTAAGTGCAGTCTTTTGGTCGACCGTATGGCCAGTGTTCACTAGGCGCTTCGTGATTGAACTTATAGTAACGTTATTTTCCGCCCTGAGCAACCACTGACCGCGTTGCTACTTTCCTTTGCTTATGCCCGATGTATTTGCATCGGCAACTTCATGTAAACTCTAAATACAGTTTGATATGGCGTGCATAGGCTGAATGCCTTTAGTCGGTCATACTGGAATACCCGTTGTTGTGCTAATGTATAACAATTTAGCGGCAGGGTTAGTTCTATCGATCGAACGTCGAAGCCTTCGTCTTATTACGTTGGAGACATTATCACCCTTGAAAGGGAGGAAAATGTTAACTGGCTTTTTTGGCACTGAAATTTCAGGAGGATTTTCTTGTCTGCGGTTGCGATAGTTATCAATGAATTTCTCCGGATGGCCGTTTCCGGATTGCTACCCTGTTCTCTGCCCCCTCCCCCCCTTTAACCTTGTCCTACAGGCTTTCATGAACATGAACTGCCATGCTATGATATCTACCTCCCCCGTCCTCTACCCTCTCACCATGCGCCGAAATCAAAGGCTAATAGCTTCTTTTCTCATTGCCTGTCAAGTTCCCCCCTTCTAGGCCGACACTCAATTGGGCAAGTAATTATTTTATTAATAGGCAACGACCGTTTGCAGTTGGGTATGAGGTCGTGAAATTACATGACGTCAATAAGTCCTGCTAATCGCGTAGTCTTTGCCTTGTTCACATTTCTTCCGGGAAAACAATATTTCAACATTAATTATTACTGTCGGGACCTTGGGTTAGCATGCCGACAGGGCGGTCACGTTCATGTAATCAGGAAGACTGCCACTTTAACATTTTCACGTAAAGGAATTTAACTACAGAAATGCCGAATTCCTATTTTATGCATCTCGTTTGCTGACGTAAGTTTATATTGTCCGCTGCTAGGCGACACCTGCCTAGCACGTGAATCCCCTTTTATACTCAGTGGCGATTTGGATGCTGGCACGTGAAGGTCCAAATGACCTTGACAAAAAATTGCGAAAAATAAAAAAAAACCGTGAGAGGGAGAGAGCACTTACCATGATGTCGCATTCCCCGGCACCAACTATGCGAAGGAAGTGGCCTGGATAAACAACAGACTCAAACATTCGCAGTCCTCTGGTTGGCTCGCCCTTCTCTCTGGGAACGTGGCATACCCGCCACAAGGAATTGCCGTCACGGGCGCCAGTTGCCCATGCAAATATTTGCGAGGGTGGTGTTGGCGGCGGCCCGCCGACTTCTTCAGACTTCGGATTACTACTCGTAAGAGGTTCCGTGATACTGCCAGGACAGATAGCCTGTTCATAGTTGGTGCAGAGCATGATTATACCCTCATCGCGCATAGAACCCTGTACGGGAGGGGAAATAAAGCTTTGAGGGGTAATCCGGTCAAGGTTGAAACAGAATGTTACGATTATCTTAAATTTGCGAAAAGTCCCATTGAAAATTCAGAAGATGAATTGGCGAACATACGTTTGTTTGCGATAAATTCTCGTCAGTCCTTTACATTTATATGCTAATGAAATAAAAAAGTGTTGGAGAACACATTACAGCATGTTTAGGAAAGGGCCTACTAAAGGGTATAAATAGTTCCATTCTAGCGCACCTAGTAGACTCAGACCATCGCATGGATGCCAAAGAGGCCTTTCCAGTGATCTACAAGATACCCTCAAGCTATTCAAAATTTCTTGGAAAGCGTCTGTTGGCTACAGCAGAAGCGGCCGCCATCAGGTTACGCCGACCGGTCCTGTGCGCCCAAAATAATTTCATCGCAGCGCCGCAGTTAATATGGGCAAAAGCCGCTAATCCAACAGCCAGCAGCTTATTACGTCGGCCGACTACCAGTTCCCCCTAACGCGGATCAGATTTTGACCCCGATCCACCCTTCCCCCTCCCATGACAACCCTACTATGTTTTCTACCAACCCGTGTAGTTTATTAACTCAGTTACTATATAAATGTAAAGGTCTGACGAGAATTTATCGAAAACAAACGTATGTTCGCTGATTCATCTTCTAAAAATGTAACAAGTTCCAGTGAAGGGGGAAGGACTGGATATGCACCTCAATTGCAATAAAAAGGCATAAGAATTAAGTTAAATTACAGGACTTGGACATCAGGTTGGACACGTGACTATGAACCACTTCTGAAATACAGACATTATCCTGTAACCACTGTAACCCTTACTTCAACTATGCAAACAACAAAACCTACCCTTCTAAACCCAGTCGTCTTAAACCCAACAATTATCCTAGCTCTAACTTCCTGTTGACCGACTGCTCGGTAAACCGTCACACAAATTTTCCGGCCCCTGTGTTGTGTGAAGACCACTTTTATCAGGGGACATTCATGACGCGGAGGGGACGAGGCGACACAGATGACCAGCGCGCGGGGAGACCAAATAAACACTGACGCCCCGGTCGCAGACAGTATCAACGCAGAGCCGAGTGCGGGTGAAGGTTACCAGGTGGTTGGGGTGGCGTGCGATTACCACCCTGAGACGCTAGCCACACAGAACGGCTCAAATTGGATTGGTAGACTACGCACGCGGAAAAAAGGAGCGGCATATGGCGAGAGCCAGGAGTCAGAGTACTCACTTTCTGAAGATGGATAGACTAGAAAACTATCCAAAACGTCAGATAACAATTAAACATCTCCCGGTGAACGCCCTTTCTCCTTCTGACTTACCGCCTGGGAATCGAACTTTCACTACTATTACTTTTTAAAGTGTTTTTTAATGGATGCATATATTGACTCAGGTTTCTGAAAATGGATGCGCAAAGCATTAATTGAAGGGAGCGTTTCAGTTCATAAAAGCCTAGGCACCCTTTTTCATGCCAAAGTTCTCTTTTCTGTTCACAATATTTTTTGAACCTACACTGTATGCTTTTCAGCCATAACGACCTGACTGATGATTTCGGTGTCTTAGATGAAGTGTATGGATGCTCTATTAACATCACAAGCTCTATGTATCATCATGAATGCTCGAGGTGAATGTGAGGATAAAAATTTACATATTTTATGCCATAATTACGAACGTCCGCATAACTACCAGCTTTCAACAGCCGAAGTAATAAAAACCAACAAAACAATTTTTTAAAATGATCATTTGAAGATGTTTTCTGTGTATTCCTTCCAAATGATTGATTGATCATAAGGGACACTGTAAATACAAACAAAAACTACTGTGCGTTACGAAAGAAGGGATCCTGTTCGGACACCGTGCTCTTGGAAATCGTAATTGTGGGCTAGCAAGTGGCATATAATTAATCTGGGCTATCAGCGGACGAGAAATTATGGAGGCGCATCATGTTGATTGCTTCCGTTAGGCCACCACCACCATCAAGCGTCGTCTTCCTAAGTCTTTGGCTGCCCTCAGTCAACAGGCTGTCACACGGGCCGACGTAATACGACAACCATCGGCTGCACAGGTTTTATGTTACCTACAGGCCTGTTGATATATTACCTGACAGAAATCTCAACCAAGCGCGCTGTATGGCCAAAAAGTGCAGTATATTCTATCAGCCTTGTCCCTGGGGAGTTCTGGAGTGGAAATATCACTGACTCAATTGAGCGGAATGGTGGCCAGAATAAGCTGAGCTCATTTCCAGTAATGTACATGTTAAGCTTCTTACCTTAAATACGGCTGACCGAATAAACCAATGGTCCGCGATTAACTGGCGTCCCAGATACTATGAAGACGAAATTGCGGGAGCTGGTAGAAATGCATAAAAATAGCAACGAATGAGCGTTGAATAGTCACTCTACGTTGGACACGCTTCTAGACGGCACTGTATAAGCACCTGTGATCGAATTCCTTCTTTTGGTGTCAGAATTATCGCCTTAAAATAATACTGATGCTATGAAAGTAGTAAAAATTCGATTCCCAGATGGTTACTCAGAAGGAGAAATACCGTTCACTGGGATACGTTTATTTTTATCTGACTTTTCGGATAGTTGTCTCGTCTACCTATCTTGAGAGAGGGAATACTATGGCTTCTGGCTCTCGCTATATGCCGCCTATTTCTTCCGCGTGCGTAGTCTGCCAACTCAGTTTTGTAGCCCTTCTGTGTGGCTCGCGTCTCCAGGTGGTAACCGCACGCTGCCCCAACAGCCTGATAACCAGCACCCGCACTCAGTTCACCGTTAATACTGTCTGCAACTGGGGCG